AATCTGATCCACATAAATCATTAAATATTTGTTATCACCCTTTAAAATATGCTCTCCCAAATTTAATCGGTGACAATATTATTTTATATTTTATATTATTTCGTATTTTATATTTCATCATTATTTTATATTTTATATTTATATTTTATATTGTAACTTAACTTTCTTGCAGACATGATGACTTGGTGGATGATCATGATGGTAATGCATGGATCTGGTTGGGGTGCATTACACTTTTAACACTTTATATTTTATTATTACCTTATATTATATATTTTATTTTATCATTATTTATAGAAAAAAATTTATTGAACAATTCTTTTGAGAAGGTTTCAATAATAGTTCATATATAGTTCTTGTGAACAACATTAGGACTTTCAACAGAAAAAACTTTATTGGAATTCAAAATATTGTTCTTAAGGATATATGTGAAGGATTGTTGAAGGCAGTCACAAAATGGATTTAAATTTATATTACAACTTACTAAAATATTTATCAGATTTAATTTATCCAGAATCATCCACAGATGAAGAACAAAAGAAAATCAGAAGTCAAGCAAAATATTTTATAGTGAGAGAAGGAATTCTGTATAAGAAAAACAAGAAGAATCCTCAAAGACCCCTTCGGGTGGTGAAATCAAATGAGGTTGAAATTATTTTACACAACTTACATGCCGATTTGTTGGTGGGACACTTTGGAATTGAAGCAACCTATCATAGGATTGCTGAGAGATATTATTGGAATCAAATGTATAGTGATATAAGGGAATATGTCTGGACTTGTGATGCATGTCAATGTAGGGGGGGACCTACTAAGCATGAATACTTACATCCTATTAAAGTCAGACAACCCTTTGAGAGATTAGGAATGGATATTGTTGGACCTTTACCTGAGACAAGGAAAGGAAACAAGTATATGGTTGTGCCCTATAGAAAATTTATGTACGGAATATGTGTGGAATATGTACAGAACTGCGGATGTGTAAGGAAATACTTGTAAAATGTAAGGAAAAATGTATTTTTCCCTACATGAAAAAAATTACAGAATTTAAGGAAAAATGCATTTTTCCTTACATTTTACAAGTATTTCCTTACACATCCACAGTTCCGTACATATTACATACATAAATTTTCTATAGGGGTGGCGACTGAGTATTTGACTAAGTGGCCAGAAGCTAGGGCAATTCCTGATGCCAAAGCTGCTTTGGTGGTGCAATTCTTTTATGAAGATATTATAAGTCATCATGGTTGTCCTAAGATATTGTTGACAGACCAGGGAACCCATTTTGTTAACCAAATGCTGGATGAACTATGCAGGGTGATGGGAATAAAACACAAATTGTCATCAGCATATCATCCACAAACAAATGGATTGGTTGAGAGATTTAATAGGATGCTTTGCGAAGCATTGGCCAAGTATGCAGCTACCTATAAAGAAGATTGGGACATATATTTACCTTTGGTATTATTTGCCTACATCAGGAAAATGGGTACAAATATTATGCATATATAATATGCAATTGCAGGGATTAAGCATATAATATATGTACAATTTGCATACATAAAAAAAAATACGTGATTTGTATGCATATTATATGCTTAATCCCTGCAATTGCATATTATATATGCATAATATTCGTACCCATTTTCCTGATGACTATAGAACAATGATTAATAGTACTACTAGGCATGAACCTTTTTATTTGACTTATGGAAGAGAAGCAATATTCCCAATTGAATTACAAATTCCTACATACTCTACAGAAATTAGTAGTGAAGAACAAAAAGAAGAATTACTATTGAAAAGAGTTTACGAACTCATTGGGAACTTGCCGGATAGAAGAGTTGAAGCAGGAGAAAATATTTCAAGAACACAAGAAAAACAAAAGAAATGGTATGACCAAAAAGTTGTGGAAACAAAATTTTATATTGGAAACAAAGTACTGTTGTACAAAAATTCTGCCAAGAAATTAGAAGAAAAATGGGAAGGACCATTCTACATTCATGATATTGGATTAAATGGGACTTACCAATTAAGGAATCAAGAAGGGAAAGTTCAAAAAAGATTTGTACATGCTAACCAGTTAAAGTCATATCAAGAAAGGCACATGGAAACACAAATAATTGTATAACACAAACAAATTAATACAACAATCCATATCAACAATCAAATTTTATAAATACCACATTGTGAAAATTTACTCTGAAACAAAAATATTTAATTTGTAAAATTTTAAAATGAGCCAAACACCCACTTACCTCACTCAAACACTTCTAACTCAATTATTACAATTAGCTAAGAAGATGCCTGAAGGAGAAGAATTGATTATTGCAAATGGAAGGGTTAAAATTAGAAAGGATGGGGAAGAACAAATTTTAGAAGAAACATCACCCAAACCACTCACTGAAATTGAATATTTAGATGAATTCAGAATAATAAGAACTGATGAAAAAGTAATACCCAACATAGATGGAGATGAAGATAATCAATTGACAACTATATTGGGTAAATTAAAGGTTACGAGAAATAGTAATGCTTTTGAGTATTATTATCTCTTGGGGAAACTCATTGAAGAATATCCTGCAACTATGAAAAAGAAAATTCATCAAAAATGTCAGCACAATTACAATAAAAGTGGAAAAATTGTCAGAATGGCAAAGAGGACTATGATATTGTTCAGTACAATCGGATTATCCTATTTATCCCCACAAAGATTATGTCTTAGTATCCTTCGGGAAATGACAGACGGAAATTTTGAAAAATTGATGATAGGAATAAGGGCAATTGTGGCTGAATGGTTACAAGCCTCATTGCTCTGGGATGATATATTGAACGACTCAACTTTTCCTGTTTCGCAGGAGCTCAATGCTGACGCGGAGGTGATGTCACCGGAATGCGAATTGGACCTTAATTCGCTGATCAATAACCCCGAAAATCCGGAGTAATATTTTATATCTTATTTTTATATTATTTATATTATTTATTTATTTATTTATGTATTTGAAAAGGGGATTAATGATCGGAAACACTAGGCAATATCAAACTTTTATTCTTTGATTTTTAGGCCAATCAAAATCAATTGTTACGCGTAATTGCTTTTTAAATTATTCGCTAACTCGTTCGTTAATGCAAGACTAAAATAAATACAAATAATAATTAGTAATATAATAGTATTATTATAATAATACAATAATGTATGTAATTGTTCTATTTATGATTGTCTATTTTTATTTGCTATTTTATTCATTTACAACAAAGATAAAGTAAATAATATAAGAATAATGATGATGATGATGACAACAACAATAATAATACGATCATACCATTTATTGTTCAATGATAAGCAAAAGAAGATGACGATGACAAAAGATGGAGATGTCAAATTAAACTAAATAAAATAAAATTTTAGGTTCAAATAAAAAACTTAATCAAAACAATCATATGACCTATTTATTTTGTGCTAATATGTCATTTAATACATAGATGTCAAATTTTTTTCCAGAACAGATATTAGCAAAATGTGTTTCCATTTTCCAGGGCATCCACATATCCGATGATTTGGACAATGTTATATGCTGCATCCAGATATCCGTGTGTATCAGGATCATTAGTTTTATTATGGCTCCAAATTTGTTCTCTAGGTCGACCTCCAGCTTGTAGCTTATGCTTTCCATTTCGATACTGCTGATTTCTATTAGATGACATATATATCTTTCAGGATATGTATTGGCTTGAGATGATGTTTGAAAATAAATTTGAAATGGAAGTTGAACTTTTAGTCATTTTAATAATAAAAATAATGAAATAAAGGTCTATAATCAAAGAAATCTATTTTATAAATATCAAAAGACTATATATAGTTTAACTTTAGGCGCTGGTTTTAGCAAACAACATTTTACAATTGCCCAAAACTATTTTATTATTTAATTTTGGTTGACATCATTAATAGTAATATTTAATCGCTTATTATTTTTGACTAGTATTCCTCTTCACTATTTCCTAACTTATCATTTTATTCCTTTTGTCTGTCCATCAACAATAACAATAATAACAAAACGATAGATTCATACTATTAATCATTAAAAATTTCTTTGCAATGTGCAAATAGAAAATGAAAAAAAAAGAGATTTTTATCACAATTTGATTTCGTTGTCAATTTTAAATTTACGTGAAATACTAAACCAGGACGTATATATCATATTAAAGAACCTCTCTTCCTTTCTCTCTATGAATGAATAAATCAAACAATTAATGAGCGAGTGAATAAAAACAAATCATCATTATAAATTGTACTAGAATCCTTAGTTGTGAACATTGGCGCCTAGTGGCCATTATGTAAAAACTTCTATTTTCGTCATTAGCATATATTAATATCCAAAATTATTTTTTTTCGCGCACAGTGTGCTGTGTATAATGAATACACATGGGATGTAATTGAAAAAAAATTTGCTCGCTGTGCCACGAACTATCTAACACTGACTATTATATTTGTAGTCAACCAAATCTGTCATCATTAATGTTAGTTTAAAAATAATTTACGAGGAGGAAATGGAATATTTCCTGGAAGTATTTAAACAAGAGGGTACTGTTGTGAAATGTCAAGTATTGTAATAGTTGACTGATTAGAAATTTTTGCAACACAAGAAATATGGTGCACCAACTCTTAACCCGACAATAAAATCACCTGACTTTGAAACCTTTCAATTCAGCTTAGAGATATTTTTTTAAAAATTCACCAGTAAATATGTTTATTGCAATAATTTCTACAAAAATTACTGGTTGTTCGCCAAAAAAATGATTCTATGTTGAGTTGAAAGATTTCAAAGTTGAAGTATTTTTATAAGTTCTGCCAAAAATTGAAAAATATTGTGGATGGCGACATTCTAAATTTAGTATTCAATGTAACTTATGTCACGCGCAATAATTTTCAATTGTTTCAAAAAATTCATTAATATTATTATCTGGTTGATGGTCAGGAAGCTTGCCATTATGAAAAAAATAATTTTCTCGAGCTCTAATACAATGTGACATGTAGTCTCCTTTTCTCCAAAAATTTTTTGCAACCTGCAAACTTGCATCCATTTTTCCCATTCCATTTAAACACAATTGACAATACTGGCTTAAACTCAAAAGTTGTATATGTTCATAAGCACCATAAGAATTGTTCGATTTAGAAATTTTGCAATGATCATTCAAATCCTCTAAACATGCTCGCAAGTTGGAGAAGGATAACAATGAAGCAGAAGAAATTGACAAAGGCAAGGATGTTAATGGTGATGTTGACTGCATGGATGAAGATGAAAGTGTAGGTGCAGATGTAGATATTGATGGTTGAAAAAAAGGTATCAATTTTTTCAATTGACTTTGCATGTTCTTTTAATTCTTCTATTGCTTTACATCTACGTTATTGAGTGGTTCTTGATGTAGAATTAGAGTAAACACTCTTATTTTTTAATGCATCTTTCTTTCATACCAACTCCAGCCTTTTTTCAATGTCTTGAAATTCTTGTAAATCTTCTACTGACCGTTATTTACTTTCTTCTAAAACTTTTTGCATTTGACCATCAACATTCTCTATTAATTCCGGTTGTTGCTCTTGAAGTTCAGAAAAATGACCATTTTTATTTCGTTGTCTGGTTGCCACTTGTTGCTTACAATTACTAAGACAAGGCATTTTATATAAAATTAAGCTAGTACAATTGTAAGAATTACTTTTCAAAGTTAAAACAAAAATGCGTTTTCTACAAACAGGTACTTTGATTATTGTAAAAATACAAGTTATCATTATTTCTTAGAAGGATAGTCCTTTTTATATTAAAAATACTTGAATAATATTATGTTACACAGCATAAAGAAAATTGAAACATGTCACGTGATTGTCAAGTTAAGAGTTGGCGCACCATACCTTCATAAATACCCTCATAAACATCTTTATCATTGTCAACATTACCATCAAACCAAAAATAAAAATATAAAGACATTAAATATTAATAAATAAATTAATAAAGATAAATTTTGCATATTTTATGATAAAATTATTAACCTAACATAAGGTCTTAATTCCAATGCAAAATTAGTTGACATGATTTGCATCGAGATCGAGGTTGGGTGACGAGATTAGTGTTGGTTTCCAAAACTATGGAATTTCGCAACAGTGTGAAAGTCAAAAGATTTCGTCATAAGTCGAAACTAGTTTTGACTTTTGATTTAGTTTTGACACATAAAATTTAATTTTAGTTTTGACTTTCGTCTCTTCAAAATAGTTTTGGCGACCAACACTAGACAAAATGCTTTCTTTTCGTCACATGCAGAAAATAAATGTGACTAAATAGAATTTCTACACTTTAAAGAATTTGACAAAAGTGACGAAATCGACAATAAAATAAAAATAAATTCATGATATCAAATTCTAATTCGCCGATTCTTTCTCAATAGTCATCATATAACATGAATTTACAACTATATCAATTAGCAGTTAAATTATTACACATAGTGGTGTGGATGTAAACACATTTTTCATATTTAGGAGACTTTATGGGAATAATCGTAATAGTAAATCTGTAAATAATATTTATTCTTTTTACTAAAACATAGCCCAGAAAAGAATTTAATTAACGGTACTTTTATGGGCGGTAGTATTTTCTATATAAAGCCATTCCTCAACCTCATGTACACTCAAATTTAATTGTAACTTACCAAAATATATCATTAGACTTGTATTTGTGACTGCTGCAATAAAAATGGCTCAATGAAGATAATAGAGACGAAGAAATATTAGAAGGGTTGCAAACAAATAACTCTTTTATCTTTACAAATAATATTATAAAAATAAATTTAATTATTTTAACTTATGAGATGGCATATTCATAAAACTTGGTCTTTAAAAAGCATATTATAACAAGATTGTTATTACAACAAGCCATCATATCTATTTATCAATTCAAAAAATATTGTTTATTTATTATTGCTATTTGCGTTTGTTTTATATTTTCAATTTTCATATTTTCATATTTCATAAGGATAAAATCAATAAATGTATTCTAATCAACATTGATCAAAATTGGGAGCCGACAATATATGCATTCCAATCATAAAATTGGGAGCAGTCAATAAATGCATCATCCCGATCAGCATTGATATTAAAATCGAACGAAGTAGAATGTAGATAAGGTGATGATGAAACTGCATAATCGTTATTATCGCTTTTACAGAAATTATATTTTTGTTGTGGTTCTAGTTGTTGGACCATAAAATATGACGAAGAGGAAGGAGGAGAAGAATGTGGATGAAGTAATGATGATGGAACCGTACCATCGCTATTATTGTTTTTGCAAAAATTATCTTTTTGTTGTAGTTGTTGAATCATAAAATGAGACGAGCTTGTATTGTCACTTCTGCAAGAAAATGGATGAAGTGATGAAGAAGCTGCACAGTCGTTATTATTTTCTTTTTGTTTTTGCTGTAATTCTATGTAAGAAGAAATAGAATAATATTGACTAGATGGTGATGAAACTGCACAATCGGTATTGTCGTTTTTATGAAGATTATCCTGTTGCATTTCTAGTTGTTGATAAGACGAGGTCGTATTATCGTTCGTGTAACGACAAGTAGAATGTGGATAGTGTGATGATGAAATCATAGAATCGTTGTTATCATTATCTATTGAGTTTTGTTGTGGTCCTGGTTGTTCAGGAATAAAAATATGATTATGATTTTTTCTATTTTCATAAGCTATTATATGGTTTTGAAAAGCTACTTTTGCTAATACTTTAAAGTAACTCTTTACTTTATCCGATTCATTCTCCCAGGAAGCACCAGCTTCCTTTGAAAAAGCTTTCCCATCTTTTTTATTCCCAGGAGAATTATGTTCTGCAATAAAATTTTTACGGTATAAGAAAAAAGAGTTTGGAGATTTTGGGATACTGATAGAATCAACATTATTAGGATTTGGTGAAATAAATTCACCGAGTGGTAAATGGAGTTTATAAGGAGGGTTGTGAAAAAGGTCAACCTCGTCATCACCAAGTTCAATATATGATGATGTTTCAGGATTCATGTATGTTGCGTAAATAAAATTTTTTTTTATTTAATATTTTTAAAATTTTAGATACCTAAAATGAAAATAGAAAAAAAAAATTTTTTTTTTGAAGAAAAAACTAAGTCTGAGGAGTGGAATACCTTTATTTATACAAAATTGTTATACGTATATACTTATACTTTATTATATATATTTGTGCGTGTGCGTGTGTGTGTGTATGGTGAACTGCGGACTGATTTATGTGCATAGTATAATAAAAAGAAACAATATGTACAGTCAAACCTTGTCATAACGGATTTCGATCTAGTACAAATTTAGAAGGTATCTGCAGAAATATCCAATCAAATACAATATTTCTGCAGATACTTTCTAAATTTGTACTAGATCGAAATCCGTTATGACAAGGTTTGACTGTATTTTACTGATTTGTCATTATTGCAATTAATAATTGAAAAATATTAATGCAGGAGAACGAAATAAAACCGTAGATGTTGTTGAATTTTTAGAATTGACATTATAAATAAGGATCACAAAAGACAAAGTAAACAAATGAGAAATCGGAGAGCATGCTAATGGAAACTGATAACATCTAATCTAGATCTGTATAGAATATTTTGTCTGTAGTTCCATTTGAAAATACGAGTCATGGATATTAAATCATCATTCATAATTTTATTTGAAAGTTTTTTTGAAATTAAAATATGCAATATTAAGAAATATTATTATCATATGACATTTATATAATAAATTTACTATTGTTGTTAATAGTACCCAGTTTGATAATGAACCCTTTTTGGCCATTAAACTTTTATAAACTGTCAGTGGTGAGGATCAATTTAAAATTTAATGGGCCGTGCAGCCAATTGGGAAATTGAATAGCGGATAAATTACGTGATCGAATAAAAAATGAGTTTCGATGTTACTATTCCACTGGTCCGTTCTATTTATAAACGAATATCATATTATAGTAATATTAATATACTATTTTTTAATAATTTCGCTTTTTTCGATACTCAGTAATTACCTAGTAATTCAATTAGCGGCAAAAAGGCGGATAAGAGTTTACAAATAACGAGGTTTTTATTACATTTAGATTATAGATTGTTTAGATGAGAACAATAAAAAGTTAATTACCATTATAGGCCAAAATTTTAAAATTTATTCTAATTTAATCATTGACGAAATTAAAATTCACTTAAAAAAGTAAATAAATTAAAAAATTAAATTAATATTTGTTTATTTGTTCCACAAAAATTTTTTTTATAATTGAAATGAGTGGGATGAAAAAATAAAATGTTTATTTGCTATTTTATTCGTAGATAAGGAAATAATAATGATAACAATAATTAACATTAGAGAATTTACTATCGAGAGCGTTCTCATTAGTCAATCCAAATATTTACGATTGATTTACGCTGTTAAACATCAACATCGATACGCACGTTAAAGCCTTCATATTCCCTTATTTTTTTTACACTATCAATCAATGAAATGAAAAGAACTCTAATCAAGAAAGTGAGAAAAAAAGAGATTTTCTATCACGATTTAATTTCATTACTAATCTCTGTCAACTTTAAATTATCGTGAAATAGTATATATATATATATATATATATATATCATATCATTGAAGTATTTTTTTCTTTCTCTATGAATAGTCAATCAATCAATCAATCAATTAATCAATGAACCAATCAATGAAGTCACGTGGAATTTAAACTTTTATTATTTAAAGTTATTAATATATTTTCTTTGATTAGGAAAATTAACAGAAAAAATAAGCTTAATTAATTATTGAAAAAAAGTTTAATTAACATAAATAAAAAATTTTTTATTAAAAAGTATTAAACAAATATGCAATCGGATGTTAATTCAATTATTATATTTGTGGCCCTCACCATCAACCAAATCCATCATCATTAAATGCTAGTTCTCAAAAATATCACGCTTCCAAGCCTAATTTTACGAGGAGGAAGTGGGATATTGCTTGGAATAAAACTATTATCTTAAAAATCTGATCACAAAAACCAAGTGAAATTAACCAATGAAAATCACATTTATTTTGACATAATAATTCGTTTATTCTTCTAAAAATTTCCTTTCTTTCTTCAGGTGTGATTAAATCGACAAGAGGATTGGTTTCACAACCTATTTTCACCAAAATCCAATATTTTTTCGGCTTACACCTTTATTCACTTTATTAATGATAAATGATAGTTAGAAATGTTATTTAATTATTATTGCTTGAATTATCTATATATGGTGCGCCGCATCTAAAGACATCAAAAAAAATTGCAAATCTTTAAACCCTGATAACTTTGGAAATATTTGTTGGCCATAAAAACCTCTCTATTTTGCAATCTTTGGAACATAAACAACAATGTAATAAGAGAGATTTTTTAAGTTATTACTAATTTAAAATGCCTATCAAACTAATTTGACCAATCAGAAAACTAATATAGATCAACTTTTATCACGTGATACATTTCAGCAATTCTTCTGAAATTACCACTTCTTATTACCTTTACCTAATCAAATATTAAATAATAATTTATTTTTTTTTGGTACGTAACACAAATTTACTCACACGGCTAAGTTTTCGAATTTTAGTTTTACGCAGCAGACAATAGTAAAATCACGTTATGTGTTATAGTGAACTTTTTTTGTTTCTCCGATTTTTTTTTTTATATAATATTTTATAATTAACTGTCTCTCGTTACAACAGATTCCAATTGCAATGGGAAAAAATAAAAAATTACGCATATAAAGCTAGGATCCACTGTAACAAGCTTTGGATGTATGTATAGTATTTATTATTTACTAATAGGTAATTGATTGATTGTAGAATAGAAACGATTGAGATGATGAGATAATCACTGCAGTACAAGAAGCGCCAGAAGAAAAATATGGCATACTAATATCAAATACAATTGTTCTAGATAGCATTCAACATTTAACTATGTTGCAACAAAATTTTGATATAAGGCAAATAATTTAGCAGCATCCGAAATGAGAGACTTGCGGCATCAAATCAGAAGAAAGCAAATGCTTCTTTAAATAAAAAGTTTTTATAACAAATAATTCTATGTTTAGTAGTTGTTATTTTTTAAAAAAGTCGGTTTAGAGATATCTTTTTTTTTTTTTTTGATCGATTAAAATATAAAAATTTATTTATAATTTATAAAAAATACATTGTAATACAAATTCCCATTAAAATTATTTGTACTACGACTCAATCTTAAAAAATTTACTATGTTGGATGTTCGTCTAAACTATTAAACAAACCTGAAATGTGAAGCGTAGCTCGAAATTTCATATATTTTAAATTTATTTTGTCATATTAAGATCATTAGAGACGAAAGAAACTATCTTATACAAAAAGCATACTGCAAAAAAATGTAAAATATTAACATAAATTCAACGCAAAATTAGCTAACCTAATTTGAATATTCATAAAACTTGGTCTTTAAAAAATGTCATTATAACAAGATTGTTATTACAACAAACTATCATATCTATCATAATTAATATTAAAATCGAACAAAGTAGAAGTTATATTTTTGTTGTGGTTCTAGTTGTTTGGCCATAAAACATGATGAAGAGTAAGAGGGAGAATGTGAATAAGGTGAAGGTGATGAAACTGTATCATCGCTATTATTGTTTTTATAAAAATTATCTTTTTGTTGTAGCTGTAGTTTAGTCATAAAATGGGATGGGCTTGTATTATAACTTGTGTAAGAATATAGATGATGATCGTTGTTATTTAAATTATCATTTTATTTCTGTTGTAGTTCTGATTGTTTAGTCATAAAAATGAGGCAAGTTTGTATTATTACTCGTGCAAGAAAAAGTGGAGCATTGATAAGATGGTGATGAAACTGCATAATTGTTATTGTTTTTTTGATGAAGATTATTTTTTTGTTGAGTCTTAAAACTTCTGTAAGAAGTAATAGAAGAATATTGACAAGATGATAATGAAAGTGCACAATCAGTATCATTGTTTTTATGAAAATTATCTTTTTGCAGTTCTGAGGTTATATTATCATTTGTGTAAGAAGAAATATAATAATATTGATTAGATGATGATGAAACTGCACAATCGTTATTATGAAGATTATCTTTTTGTTTTTGTTGCAGTTCTAGTTGTTGATAAGACGAGGTTGTATTATCGTTCGTGTAATGACAAGTAGAAAGGAAAGCAAAAGAATGTGGATAGTGTGATGAAGAAACTACAGAATCATTATTATTATCATCTATTTGTTTTTGTTGTAGCCCTGGTTGTTGAGGAATAAAAATATGATTATGATTTTTTCTATTTTCATAAGCTATTATATGTTTTTGTAAAGCTACTTTTGCTAATACTTTAAAGTAACCTTTTACTTTGTCCGATTCATTCTTCCAGGAAACACTGGCTCTCTTTGAAAGAGCTTTCCCATCTTTTTGATTTCTAGGAGATTTATGCTTTGCAATATAATTTTTGCGGTATAGGAAAAAAGAGTTTGGAGATTTTCGGATGTTTATAGAATCAACATTATTTGGATTAGGTGAAATAAATTCACCGAGTTGTAAATGGAGTTTACAAGGGGGATTGAAAAAAGTATGAACCTCGTCATAGTCAAGTTGTGCTTTATTAATATATGACGATGTTTCAGGATTCATGTATGTTGCGTAAATATAACTCAGATTTTTAAAAGTTGTGATACTTTGAAATTTATTAAAATGAAACAAACATTTGCAAAGAAAAAAATATTAATATTAATATGATTTTTTAAGGACTCAAATATGTTGTTTTTTTCAAAATGATAAAGATTGTTTAATGTAGAAAGTTTTTTTTTTTTTTTTTTTTTTTTTTGAAGAAAAAACTAAGTCTGGGGGTGGTAGATAGAAGATTCGTTATAATAACATAAAAGGTGTTGTTGATGGAATACCTTATATTTATACAAAAATTCTTACAAATGCTTATACTCTATTATAAATTTTTTTAAAAAAAAATAGTCTCTATTTTATTATATATAATTGATTTTTCACTAATGAGTTAATGGTCGAAGAATATTAACACGAAATAAAAAAACCTTGTATGTTGTTAAGTGTCAAAAAGTCGTCATACAAACAAGGATCACAAATGACAAAGAAAATAAATGAGAAATTGGAGCGTGTACTAATAATGGAAACTAATAACATTCAATCTAAATTAGATTGTGTATATAATGAATGCTTTGTTTTAGTTCGATGTGAAAATATGAGTAATGATATCAAATCATTTATATGTAATATTATGAAATTCTATTTCACATGTTTAAGAACGATTCTATTATTATCGTTATTATTTATCGGTTCCTGTAATGAACTCTTATAACAACTGCTAGTGGTGATTAATAGCTGTACAGTCCATTGAAAAATTGAATAACGCGGATATTACGCGATTAAATAACAAATAAGAAATGAGTTTCATTGTCCATTATTATTATATAATAGTAATATAGTATGCTATTGGTAATCGTCAAAGAAAAAAAAATATGAATTTACCATTATAGACAAAATTTTGAAAAGAATCCAATTTATAATAAACAACGGCGGTTATTTGAAATATTAATTCAGTTGTGTAGAGTTTAGTACATATTGGTCAATTCTCTGTGAGTGTTATTCATTGGGTGGGTGCATTTTCTACATGCTGAAAATTCAAAGTTCAATATAATTTCAAAATTTCAGTGTGATACTCGTTTTTTAAAAGGCCCGACAGTCATTTATTAAATCTATTCTAATTCAATCATTGATAAAATTAAATTCACTTAAAAAAGTAATTTAATTAATATTAGTTGCACGATCATCAAAATTTAATAATGATTTTCCTTTTAACTAATTTGTTGTTACTGATTAAATTTATATTCGGCAATAGCATGCTTCCATTCGGATTCAATAATTTGTGACTATAATAATAATAATGTTAAAGAATTTAATATTGAGGGCGTTCTCATTATTCAATCCAGATATTTTAAAAAACATACACGATATTGCAAGAAATGTACATATATTACTCAAAAACAATAATTGGAATGATAAGAAGATATCAACCAAATTAAAAAAAATAAAACAAAATTAAATCAAAACAATTGCAATATGCCTTTGATATTGTCATTAATCATTTTCTATTTTAACCGATGTTTCATTTTCACTTTCTTAATTTTATTGTTTTATCTGTTCATTAACGATGACAATAATGACAGAACAATGATTTACACTGTTAAAACATCAACATTGATCTGACACCATATTCCCTTATTTGTTCACACTATCAATCAATGAAATGAAATGAATTCTAATCAAGAAAGTGAGAAAAAAAGGATTTTTTATCACGATTTAATTTCATTATTAATCTCTGTCAGCCTTAAATTATCGCGAAATAGTATATATATCATATCATTAAAGTATCATTCTCTTTCTCTATGAACAGTCAATAAATCAATCATTAAATGAACCAATCAAATGATAAAGGAAACCCGACAAGATATTGATTTTTTTTTAATAAAATACAATCAATTTAAAACAGTTTCATATATTTTTTG